TTAATCACAAAGAGAAGACTAGGTTAACAATATTAAAAACAAGAACTTCCATTTACTGAAAGGGAAAACACAATCGAGCCCAGTGTGTGGCTCTTGCCAATAATCCCAGCACTAAAATGGCTGACGTAGGAAGACTGCCTTCAGCTGCACAGTGAGTCTAAGGCCAGCTTGACAGGAACTCCAAACAAAGGCACATATAACAGATAAAAGAGTTGCTATCCAAGGTGTAGTTAGATATTTAGAAAAAGAAAAGGCTCTGTGTTTTCAAATATGCAAATAGTATTAGCAAGTATTTCAGGCAGAATACAAATGAAGGCATGCTTGACATTATCAGTGCTGTTACCTAAGATACCTGAGCTGTCTCCTGACTACAACTGAACTTAGCAAGTAAAACATCAGAGGCTAACTTTTTTGTTGCTAGGGCTGGACTTCAGCCACTGCCAGTCAACTGAGCAGACCACACCCAAACATGCCAACTCACCCAGCTGTACCCACCTGGTGGCTTTTCTACTTGGCACCCAAGTTCAGAGTATAAAAATTCACTGCTCAGAGGCTTGGCAAACTTGAAGCTGCTCCTGGTTCTGAGTGCTGGGGAATTTATGAACTGGTCTTTGCTCAAATAAATAAACTGAATAAAGTTTTCAGTCTTAGAGGAAATATAAATCAAGAGAAAAACGAATGGTATTCTACATCCATTCAAATGCAAAAGTAAAGACACTGAAAAGATCACACAAGACCACACACAATACAAAAGAAGACACACAGAACAAATCCTCAAGGCATCGAGGGTGCGCATTTTTGCCATTCTTCCAGAAGGTGAATATTTGCATTTCCCCCAGAGAAAGAAAACTCATAGATATTCACATTGCACTGTTTATGAGGAGGGAGGGAGGGAGGAGAGAGAGAGAGAGAGAGAGAGAGAGAGAGACAGACAGACAGACAGACAGACTGGGATCCTCCCCAGAAGGGAGAGGTCACCCTTTTGTACAATGAAGTATTTTTCAAGCAAGGCAGAAGAAGTAGCCATGTGCAGAGCCTAAGGAACTTGAACAATGCAGAAGGTGCAGAGTGCAGAAGGCTACATGAGCATCATTTCCTGTTCAAAGCTCAGGCTCAGGCAAAGCCAGACCAGAACTACCTTGTTCAGGAAGTACTTACACAATATCTTTATCTTTTCAAAGCAATGACACGATCTAAACTGGGGACTAAGAGTCTCTTCAGAAGAGAAGGCAGGCTGTGGTGGTGGGCACCAGCCTGGTGTGGCAGAGCAGCATCAGCAATTCCACTCTTAAACAGGGTGTTGGGATCTGTGACCACCATTGTTCTTATACTTTATAACTAAACCTTTACATAGAGTATAATTTGTGTGTCAAATATCATGACAGTATTTTAAAACAAGGTATTAAAATTAAACTTGACTCAAGGAATAACGTGTAACAGGGTTTGGTGTGCATGCCTACAAGCCCAGAGCTAAGGAGGCACAGGCAGGAGGATGGAAGCTAAGAGGATGACAGCCTTGAGGTGTAACTATGCTTCACAGGAAACCACCTCAAGAACAAAACAGTAAAAATAAAAAATAACTAAGCCAAACCAAGCAGACTGCACACACTTAGCTCCTGATTGATCCAATTCTTTCAGCTTCTTTTATTCATATTCATTACCACAGCTCTGACACGTTTTATTTAAATCCAGTTCAATTATTTGACAAACGGAGTGAAGCACAATGCATGTTAAAAGGAGGAGACAGCACTGTGGAAGAACAAGATGACATCATGGGGAATGGGTGAGGGCCACATGTTCACATCTACCTCCAAACTGACTAAAATCTAAGTCAGTCAGAGTACATAACTGCGCTTCTTTAACAGTGGGTGACTGGCAAAGCCAGTTTCTAAGCTACCATGATACGCTGAGCAGGTCTGTCTTTTCTTAAAATGCTAAAAAATAGATAAAAGAATCTTTTAATGTGATCAAGGAGCAAGATTTTGTTCAGTTTTGTCTTGAAAGAGCAGCCACTCTACCTGCTGCTGAAAATAAACTGGTTACTTGTGCAAATACACACAAAAACGTGAGCGGAAGAGAACATGCGCTAATGTAAGGGCTGTGGGACCTTCAGTGGAGACAAGACCTTAGAAGCATTTGCAGGGTAAAATACAAAACACAGATTTGCTCAGATTTCCATGATGAAAACAGCATGTCAGAAATGTGCACAAAAAGTTAGCTGATGGAGATGGTCAGCATCACTAGAAAACACACAACTCTGTGTTTTATAACATCCTTTCATGGAAGAAATGAATTTCCTTTAAGAAAAACAGACAACCCAGTAAGAAAATACTTACAAAAGCTCAACAGTTTGTATTCAAAGGCTTTTTCCTCTTCTGAAAGAAGAGAACTGGTGTTTTCCCACACTTCCAGGTGGAAGGAAAAAGCTTTCTTTTTATTTGCCCAGAATTTCTGGGTGAAAATGTGAGAGCCAGAACTCACTTGTTTGCGGTTTTATTGTGGGTCTGAACTGAGCACAATCTACCACTCAGTTACCCCAGGCTCATTACCCAAGATTTTTCCTAAGCTCTGCTCCTCCTTCCTAGTAGGCATTTAGTTCACTACTGTGAAAACTTTCTGCTATAGGAAGAAAAAAGGAAAGGAAAAAGGTTCACACCTGCTCTGTTCCCTGAAGCTCTACCCCATGACTGGATGTAAGCAGGGCAGGCAAGAACAATGTCTGAAAAGCAGTGCCTCTCGTGACTCCTGGGGCTACAGCAATGTGGAAATGGAGAGGGTGCTGAGGCACCTCCTAAGGGCGCAACATGGCTATGGCAACTTGTACCCTTTCTAGTTTGGCTTTTTAAAAATGTCTGCCAAGGGTCAGATTCTGTATGCACGTTTTCACTGAGGGACTAGGAGCTAGCCATATTTCTGGACAGGCAGACAGACAGGGAAGGGCCACTGATAAATGAGAAGAAAAAGCATACGCCTGTCTCCTCTTGATCCAAAACAATGGCTGGGGACATCCCCTCTACTCAGCCAGCTTCTCTTTCCATCTACTGTTCAAACTAGTTCAGATCAGACTGTGGCCTGACCTGGACAACACGTCTTTTGAAGCCATAAATTATCAGCCTTCTCCTCTTTGTTTAAGCTGATCAATCCCAAACCCTTAAAAGCATAGGCCCTGGGGGAGGGGTGGATTTCCATTTCCTGATACAGTGGAGATCACTTCCTGAGTACTATCCTCTGTCTGAATGCTTGTATGTATGCAAATCCTCCTCCTTCAATGAAAGTTTGATTGTTCCCTGTTCTCTGCTGGTTTGAGATTTTTTTCCTGCCTTTTAATTCTTTCATGGGCTGAGAAAACAAACCTGACCCCTAGACAGTGACCAGGCTCGAACATGTGGGTAAGATCGAGAACAGCAGTGGAAGGAAGTACGAGAAGACAGCAATGCTGCTGCCCCGGCGCACTGCAGACCAATCCAAATCATCTTGAGGCCGCTCTCCAAACGGGATAGCGAGCCATCGTTTGCCGTAAAGACATCCAGTCAGTAATCAATCTCTACTTAAAAGAACTTTTTAAAAAATATTTTATTTATTATTTTTATTTTATGTGAATGAGCGTATTACCTGCATGTATGTTGAGCACAGCCCTGTCCTGCAATGCCTTGGGCTTCGGATTCCCCTTGAACTGGAGTTAAGGACGGTCCATAGCCGCCATGTGGGTGTTGGTCAAACCCGGGTCTTCTGCAAGAGCAGTCAGTGCTCTTAACTGCTGAGCCATCTCTCCAGCCCCTTAAAAGAACTTTTATAAAAAAGAAAAGGCTCTCCATTGGAGAGCACTCCCATTTGGCTAAACTACTGTCAAATACTCCACTATAATTGAAAAATATAATAAGGAGGGGCTGGAGAGATGGTGCAGTGGTTAAGAGCACTGGATGCTTTTGCAGAGGACCTGGATCTGATTCCCAGCACCCACATGGCAGCTCACAACCATCCTTAACACCACTTCCAGGGGATCCGATGCCCTCTTCTGACCTACGTGGGCACTGCATGGCATGGGTACATTTACATATGTGCAGACAAGACCCTCATCACATAAATAAATAAAATATTAAAAATATATAAAATAAGGAAATGTAAATGACAAATCACAAAAAATAATACTTTAAAGAGACCTTAAGCCCCCATTAAATGAACATCATGGTCTTGCTAACAGTGTTGGGACACACCCCACCATCTGCCACCACCACACAGTACCATATCTTGGGCAGGTGCCTAGAAAGGCAACATATTTTCAATCATGAGACCAATTTCTGCATCTTAAGTTTTGAATTTTAATACAAATTATACCCATTGTAAGACAATACAGATAGAAACACAAGACAATATAGTCTGCCCTTTTTCCTACTTATATGTAAATGCATTCAAGTTGTGTCCAATTCCACACATATATCTGTGTTTACACACATATACATACACATATATGCATACCTGTGACCTGTTTTCACAAAATTTAGGATATTTTACATGCTGAATCACAATTTCTTTTTTTCTTATTTGATAAAAGTCACCTTTGAAATAATGCTTTTGTTAAAAAACTACACGACATTCTCTAAACGGACATGCACATACTACAAATTGGCCAACTGCTCTTCCTCTGGCATTTGGACTGCTTCAACTGTGTTAGATTTCTGTCATTCCATCTGAACACACACACACACACACACACACACACACACACACACACATATGTTATCCAAGTCTTCCTAGCTGCTACAGGACAGGCTCCCCAGCAGGGCTCTCAAAAAGAGATGCATGAGCCTTGGAGTCCTACCAGCAAGACACCAGCACAGGAGAAACGGCACTAGGTGCCTAAAACGCCCCACCCTGCCCAGGAAACGGCAGCCAGCAGCCCATGTAAGATGATTTCTAGTTTTGTGATGTGTTTCAACTGTAGGCACTGAATGGGCACCTGTGCAAGAATGAAGTCTATACCGGAGTTGGTTTTTACTTACCTTTTTTGGAAACTTCTGCACCATTAAGCTCTTTTTGTGCTTCTTCAATTTTGTCTATGGGAAATAAAAGAGAAAGTATAAATCAACTATTGCAAACAAAGAATACAGTACAGCGAACACACTACTCACAGCAGCAGCAACACAACACATGCTGAATTAATTTATTTGTGAAAAAAATGGATGCAAACTGTTAAAGTAAGGGTATATTCTCTTTCAAACTTATAATTTTAGTCCACTCTTCATTACAAGAATGATTTCCCAGTTCATTACTGTACTCTAAATACTGAGATACAGCTAAAAGAGTGTCTAACACCACTTTCCTCTCAGATGCAGTATACCAAATCAGGTATTTTACTGCATACTAGATTAAAATAATACGACTAAGCCAATTCCTCAGGCGGTGCCATGGTTTAGATATGGTTTGCGTATCTCCCAAGGGTTCATGTGTTATAAGGTTGGTCTTCAGTGGAGCAGTGTTAGAAGTTGTGGAAACTATTAAAGTGGGAAAGAGTTGAAGGGGAGCTTTGAAGTCACAGGGACATGGCCCTCAGAAGGGACTAAGGTAATTCTCACTGGATTCTGGGTTAGTTCTCAAAAGAAATGTTACAAAAAGCAAGTGTGGCTACTCCTCTCCTCCTCTATGTCTTCTGGTCTTTCCATGGGTCCTCTGCCTCTTCTATGTGATCCCACCCAAACACGATCTACAATGAGGTACTTTGGCCAAGGCCAAAGGGGTGCTTGCAGAGCCAGCATCAAACTATTTAGAGTTTTAGTCTCCAAAACTGTGAACTGAATAAACTTTTCTCCTTTAGAAAGTATCAGCCTTAGGTATTTCATTATAGTAACAGAAAATGAACGATACAAAGACTTTATAGACAAGCAAGGGAAACAACAGCTGATGTAACATCGAATGCAAAGATGAGGTGAAGGGAGAGATGTTCTGTGTTCTTAACAATGCGTGTCTTCAGAGTGTGAGATTGGAATCCTGTCCAAGAGAAAGAATATAAGAAAGACCAAAGAATCAGTGTACACGCACACCACTTCAAACACAGGTTGGGCCTCGTGGGGCAGGGGTACAGCTCAGTGGTAAAGTGTCGAGAGTTGGGATACTGCTGCAGGACAGGGATGGGGCAAAAGTGTCCTCCGAATCTGTCCTTCACCTGTCTGGGGCTCTGGGCACAATCAGATCCTACAAGCATGCCCATGTCTTGCTGTGGTAACAATTAATTTGAATTTTATAAGGTGGAACAAATTTGATGATGGTGGTGGTGGTGGTAAACCATACAAGTTCAAATTCAGTCTCAGTGCTCATTATAAAAGGCACAAAATCTCCAGGATACCATTCATAGTCAGCTGAACATAGTGGCAATCACTACATAATATTTTAGGTATCTCATGAAAGCACGGTTGGGATAGAAGCTCTGGAAACACCGTGCCAGTGGACAACAGCCTCTGCCCTCTGGTGCCTACCACAGCCCCAGAACTGTCTCCAGTGCTGAACATACCATCACTTGCCATGAAAACATGACATCTCCAAAGAAGCATGCCCCACCAGGGACCCTTCATATGCACCTTCCAAATGTACATAATCTTCAATTTACTGATCGAAGTTCTTCCAATGGCACACTGATCCAACCAAGGTAGACTGGGAGCCAAGGAAGCAAGCAAGCTAGTTAGCTTGATAAAATACTGTGTCCCATTTCCACCCTGAGTAATGACTGCACCCCGGAGCAATGTCCTGCTCACCTCCTGCTAATTATCAGACTCAAAATACAACTGAAGGCTGCTTGGGCAACCTGTGAGACTAGGACAACTGTCTTCATCTACAGACTGCAGTTACTTCTTATGAACCAATGAGTTGAAGCTGAAAGTAATCCTAGAGAAAGAAACACATTAAGTGCAGAAACTGGGGGCTGGGGACGCAGCTCAGGGGACGGTGTGTGCAAGACCCCTAGGACACTCTAAGCACAATAAAAATAAACAAAAAAGGATTTTGTGAGTTTACAGAAATGCTATCTGGGAAAATGGGTATTTTTAACCTCATTTTAAACATCATATCTAGAAATATTTTTCACAAAGACGTATCATTTTTTAATGCTTTCATGTTTTATATACCATTTAAAAACAATAATTAAGAATTGGTATAAAAAATTGGATCCAGGATTAGCATCAATTTTATCTGGAAAAAATACTAAAAGCATGGGTGAAATCTGTATCCATGCAAATAACCAGAGAACAAGGGCCATTTTTTAACAAAATGAAGTATTGAGTACATTGCTGACATTCAAACTATAAATAAATAAATCATATGACTTAAATATGCAGCCCTTGAGAAACATAAAAAGAAGTTTTATTACCAAAGAACTATTATTTCTATGCCAGCAGTTCATCTAAATTTGAGTCATAAATAATATGTAGGTGTATATTATATATATTCACAGTAGTAATGGCTATGTTTTCTACAGCTTATGCACACAGAATTTGACATTATTTAAGAAAAGCAACTTTTTATTAATAGACTCAATTGTAGCTCAAAACAACAACAAAAAACTCCTGATTTAGCAAATACATAAAGAATGCTTATTTCACATGAGGCTGCCCACCTGTGTGCACCTCACATAGATCCTTACAAAAAAGGACCTTTGTATCTGATCATGAAATATTAGTCTTCATTTAAAAGAATTTCACTTCCGTTACCTTTTTATCTTGCTAATTACGATACATAAATTTAGACTGTGGCTTAAAACATCTGCATTAGGTCTAATAAGCTTTTACCTGCAGCCCTAGTTCAATAGGTCAATAAAACCTTTAATTAGAGAACTTGTAATGCCATTAGAAAAGCTTTTGCTTCTGCCAATTTTCAAAGAACATTCTGTTGCTATTTAACCTGTTCCATAATTCTCCTTGTAAATATGTATTTTCAAAACAATTATCTGAAATTTCAGAGAAATGGCCACATACTCTATGCTCTCAGTTCATAGAAGATAATGTACTTATATTTTATGGAATGTATAATTTTTTCACTATGACCCACAGCAAGAAATGTATTTTTATTTTTACCTCCTTATCCAAGTGTAATGCCGTTATGTGTATAAATAACTCAGCAACAAACTTACCCAAAACACTTTATCTTGCAGTCTTTCATATTAAAAGTGAAAACTGATGTTTCCAACCAAGGTCATTCATTTGAGAACTCACTGTTGGACTGTCAACCTTAGCTTAAAGCTGTGTTAAAAAGGAGCGCCTGCCAACATAACATGTCTTCCTCAACACCCTTTACTAAGGTAATGCACCCGTGATGGTTAATCTTGACTATAAACTTGATGTGATTTAGAACCAGTGAGACAAACCTCTGGGTATGTCTGTGATGGAATTTCCCGGCAGGCTTGGTGAGGTGGGAAGATCTACCCTCATCGTGGGTAGCATCTTCCAATGGGATAGCCTCACAGGACAAAGTGTCTTCTCTCTGCTTCCTGGTTGCAGACACAATGTGACCAACATACCATCCACCATGCTTTCCCAGTCATGACACCATCCTCAACCATGAGCCAAATAAACCTTTCTTCTATAACTGCTTCTGTCAGGTATTTTGTCTCAGTACTGGGAACAATAACTAATATACTATCCCGAAATAACACCTTTTTGTGTAAGTCTTACTTTGGAAGATGAGGATAGTGATGGGAGAAAGATGGTGAAGATGGTGTTAGACTCTGAGATTCCCCCGCCCCATATCCCTGTGACATAGGATACCAATTTCATAGAGGAACACATTCAAAAATGAATCAAAGGTTCAGTCTGTGAATGATTTTACATTATGTCCACCTCAATTCTAATGCTTCTTGTGGCTCAGCTTGGTGGTACGGCCTCTGCTCTAAACTTGTATGTCCTCTCCCTTCTCTTAGCCCTAAAACACAAATTAATTAGGAAATGTTCCAAAGTAGACCCTAGAGAACTGTAAAAAGGCACATCTATTTTCCGGAAGCGGTGCCATCTGACTGAAGGAAGCTGGCATATGTGAGCATACCATTTTTACTACCAGGTAAGCATAACCCCACTTCCTCCTGTTCCATGTTAGAAAACACTCCTTACATTCCACCTCAGTGATATTGCCTATAACAATGGTGTAACTGTAAACTGACGCAGCAGTTAACCATCTGTACATGCTCTCCCACAGGAGGATTGTTCCCAGTCTTCCCTAACCCACTAACCAAAGTAAACCTGCCATTACAAGGAACCCCCCTCAACTTACAGGGTAGAGCCACATCTCCTTTACCTCTAGACTAACCTATGTCTGTAGGGAAGAGAATGCACTATGAAATCCTGAAAATGACACGTGATGTCTTAAATGAGAAAAATTACAAACTCACCTCTAGGTAAACAAATTAAAAAAAAAAGTGATGAACTCGTAAAAACTGTAGATGTGAAGTTTCCCAAACTGAACCAGGAAGGAGAAAACCTGACCAGAATAACCCTCAAAGACAACATGGAGAAATTCAGAGCACGTGGTGCTGGCTTTAAATCAAGTCTGGAGACTTATAATCAGATTCCTCCAAATTTGAAAGAATGCAGTATTTTCTAAAAAGTTCCAGAAAAGCAGATATACACAAGGAATTCTAACTCACTTTACAAAGCTGATAATCCTTGGACATCAAAATCTGAGCACAGGGACAGAAAAGCCAACACTGCAAACAAACTTCATATGAACACGGATTGGACAATACACGTCAAAAAGTGTTCACAGCACTTGGTAACCATGAGCACTCATCAACTAGGAATGCAGATACTTCACCATTCAAAAACAAGGTCCAGGTCAGGTATCCCTCACCCGAACCGTGTGAGGATGCTAAGTTTTTGGATTCTAGACATTTAGAGATAGGGGATATTATCATATGCGATGATATACCACAAAGATGGCACCCAAGTGTAAACACCAAATTCATTTATGTTTCATATACACTTTTTACACAGTCTCAAGGTCATCTCATATCATATTTTTAGTATACCTGTATTTTACATGAACTTTAGCACATGGGGCAAGTATGTTATTTTCTACC